GGGGGGGCTGTTGGGGAGCACAGCAGAGCTGAAGCGTGTGGCCCTGCTCATCTGCTGTGACAAACTCGGGGAGTCAAGAGAAAGATAAATGTGCTAGAAGGTGCTGATAAGGAGAGATTTTCTCCAAAGCACGAGCACAAGGGACAATGGGTGCAGGAAACAAGCTACAATGGCTTCCCAAAGGTCACTGACTCCAACCAGGGACAATGAGGAATCCAGGCAGACATTTGGTTCGAGTCTGATTGTCACGTGCTGTCCCCCCTCCCCTGTCCCAGAGCTGCTGCTGTTCTCTACCTGAATAAAAAGACATTTGTTTCAGACTTCTCTGCCTGTTTGCCACAGCATCCCCTTGGCACAGCACCGTGTGGGACTATGGCCCCGCAAAGGCTCGAGGAGCCGGGGAATGGCTTGGGGGAAGGGACAGTCGCTTCAGGGCCTGCAGATGACCCTGAAAAGAGCACATCCTGGTGGGAAGAGCCCAGCCCAGCTAAAGGGGTAACAAACATACCACCGTGCCGTTGGGGAGGCAGATGATCATCTCCACGGGGAAGTTGTATTTCTCCAGGTGCAGGTCAGCCAGCTTGCTGTAGAACTCATTCTCTCTGTTGCTCTGTAAGGACACCCCAAAGAAACATGCCTGCACCCACCAAAACTAGCAGGGCAGCACGGGAGGACCACACAGAACACAAGAGGAGGGGGCAGACCGAAGAGCTGCTCTGCAGCATGGTAGTAACTGGCTCCATTCTCAATATCTGCTTCACTATTCCCCTTCAGTCTCCCCCTCACTTTTCAGCTGTAGATTTTCTCCCTGAACAATAAAATCACCCCATTGCTGGCAGTTCCCAGGCACACCAACAGCCTGATCCCAGCTTTTCCCAGTCTCCAGCTCTGTGACTGACCCCAGCTGACAGCACAGGCCCAGAGACAGGCTCCAAAGTGGGGAAAGGTGCAATCGGGAGACTCAGGGTTCAGACAGTATTTGGTTGTTCCCTGGGTTTCAGAACAGTCAGTTTGCTGATGGCACGAATGGCCTTGGGCAGGGCTATCTCGCAGTGAAGCATCTGGTTTAGCTTTTCATATTGGCACCATGACAGAGGGAAGGGGGTCATCATGCCATTTTCTTCGCCTGCCTCCATCTGGTGTTTGCTTGGCCTCTGCAACTGCTAGGACACGGGAGGACTTGGAACCGAAATCCCCCACTGGCCCAGGTGTGAGCTCCCCCCTCTCGCTGGCACCCCCGTGCCAAGCACCGTCTGCCTTCACCGGCACCGAACGCAAAGGCGGCGGATGCGGCCGCGACCCTCACCTGCAGTTCTTCCAGCTCCTTCACCAGCGACCAGCTGCTAATGAAG